CCCTCGGGGCCGTCCGGGAGGGATTCCGATGGCCCCCGACCAGGGGACCTACGCCAGGTTTCATCGGAAGCCAACCCCCCTTGGACAGCCCTGGGGCCATCCTGGATGAGGAGGAGGAGGAGGAGGAGGTAATCTTGCGAGTCACTCGGGCGCTCTTTTGGCCGCCTCGGGTGTAGCTTGGGGCTCTCCGGGGGCCTCTCGGGGCCCCCTCTGCGGACACCTCGGGCCTGCTGTGCAAGCCTTCCTTGCTGAAGACCACATCCAGTGGAGTGGCCATCACGAAAGCTCACGCATGTCCACACCTCAATCTTTACTTGTCAGGTCGAATCTGCACGCTCATTCTCATACTCATCGCTATCTTCATTTCGGGCATCTTCGCCCCAGGCTCGCCCTCCTCGCCGTCAGAGCCCCTGTTGTCCTCAATGATTCCTGATCTTCATCCCCGTCCTCATTATCATCAGTCGCTGCTTGCGTCTCTTCGGGCATCCCAGAAGAACATGCAAAATGTCCCCAGACCCCCTGGGGACAAAGTGGGTCACGTTTGGGATGGGGGAGTCTTGGACAACTGGGCCGCCCGTAGACCAGGGGTCCAAACTGCTGGTTGTAATACATACAAATATACGTATGAGCATGATTATGTGTCTCTCTCTATGTGTATATATGCATATATCACGTAGGTATTAGTGTCTGGACCGTGCATGTATAGCTATATAACTGCATGCTGGTCTGGGGTGCTCTGGGCAATGCCGCTGACGGAGCATACCATCGGCTCCAGAGTCGGGTATGGACAGACCTCCCTTTCGTAAAACGTGGTTTAGTGAAAACGACCTCGGGCCCAAACCTGGCGGGCGCAGGCCTGGAAAATAACGGCCGCGGCGCCCTCTCGAGAACCGAAAACGGACAATCCACCAATCGATGTGTCAGGGTAGGAGGTCTGTCCACCCCCGGCAAGCAGCTAGGGCTCCCAACTTCGCGCTTCGCGCTGCGCGAAGCGCGAATAACTTCGCGCTCTCGCGCCGCCCTCCCAAAGGGAGAATAGGAGGACGAGGAGGAGGGGGAGAAGGAACGAGGACCGCGAAGCGCGAAGCGCGAAGAACTTCGCGCCCTCGAGGGAGCCCTTGCGGATGCGTGCGAGAGAGTCCGACCCCGTCAGCCCGCGCGCCGACGCTCTCTCGATGCAGAAGCGCCCCCTCTCGCGCCTCGCGCTGCGAGAGACGCGAAGCGCGAACACCTTCGCGCTCTCGCGCCGCGCCGCCCCCCTCGCATGGGGAGGGGAGGAGGGCGACGAGGACTCGGAGCCGAGCCGAGAGGGGCAAAGAACTGCGCGCCCTCAGTGCGCCCTTGGGTATCCGGCCGCTCCAACCTTTTCTGCGTGGGCCCGACTTGAGCGTAGGAGCAGCGGGTCCTCGTGGAAACGTGTCCTGGACCCTTGGCCTGCCCCAGGGGCCAGCTTCGTCGTCCTGGGCCGTTCTCCGACGGCCCCGGGGGCCCGTGGAGGGCCCCAGGAGACCAAAAACTCTGAAACATCCCAGGCCGGCCATCGCTCGGACGTCCATTCCCTGTGTTTTTGTTCGGTTTCGCGCGTGCTTTTTCGCCACATGGTCACGGATGCTCCTCGATGGTCCTCCGCCGAGGGAAAAATGCACACGTCCGAGCGATGCCAAGCAGGGCCCGTTTCCCTCAGGACCCGATTTTCCCATGGCGACAATGGGTTGGGGGGCAACTCCTGGGAGGCCTTGGATGGAAAGATGAAGGGCTGATAGGTCCGATGCACTGGCCAGCGAGCCCAATCAGGCCGGATTGGGCACGGGAACCGGGATTGAACAGGGCTAAGCCGGATTAGGCGAGATTCGGCCTGGGATGGAACGGCGCAGTAGGCGGGGAAAGACCGGTCCAAGCGGGGTTGAATCAGATTAGGCCAGCTTTCGACCAGTGATAGAACAGCGTCGATTCAGATTTCAACCTCCCAAACGTTGCATCCTAACATTGGCGGTCCCAAGACCGTGTGGTGACGGATCGCGCGGTGACCTCGGATCCCTTAGAGACCTCACCGCGCGGTCCATCGCAGCGCGGTCTTGGGACCTCGGAGGCCCCGGTCGCCCGCGACGTTCTCGAAGAGAACGACCCGAGTCCCAAAACCACGCGGCGGCCCCGAATCCCATGGACTCACCACGCGCTGTGGTCACAACACCGCGTGGGGCCCCCCGGGACCTGGACCACCCCAGGACCCACCCGACCGCTGGAGAGGAGCAGCATAGCCGGTGGGGAGGAGGGGGAGGAGGCGGAGGAGGACGAGAAGGAGAAAGAGGAGGGGGAGAGGGAGGAGGAGGAGGAGGAGGACAAGGAGGAGGAGGAGGAGGAGGAAGAGGAGGAGGAGGAGGAGGAGAAGGGGGAGGAGGAGAAGGAGGAGGAGGAGGACGAGGAGGGGGATTGAGAGGGGGAGGGGAGGGAGGGGAGGAGGAGGAGGAGGAGGAGGAGGAGGAGGAGGAGGAGGAGGAGG